TTCTGTTGTCTTTTCTTTACTTTTTCGTCCTCTGCGATACGTCTTGTTTGGTGTGGACGAAACAGCATATATATATATATATATATATATATATATACGTACATTAAAAGGAAGGGAATAAAGATATCGAAGAGAAAACATAACAATAATAAAGGCTTTATCTGTGGCGAATTAGCTTCTTGTGACGAACAGACGTTTAGTGACGCCTGCGCTAATGAACCCGCCGTCGAAGTTGGGAGACTTCTTTGGAGTTGTTGACGACTTCTTCAAGAAAACATTTCGAGATGACTCGCAGGTGTTTTTGGCAGTTAAGTCCCGGCAGTATTCCGAATCATTTCCAGGGAAACAACTTTTTTTCACCATCCCCCAGACCTCGTCACAGGCATCCGGGGAGTCACATACTCCAGAGGAGGCGGCGACAATGTCGTCCAAAAAGACCAACTACATGACCTTTTCTCCCCGCCTGGTTCTCAACAATGATGGGACTGCGTTTGGCAAGGTCAAACTTGGGTGCGGCCTCCATATCCCGCGTGTCTGTCGCTTTGAGCAGGGGCTGACGTTAACCAACAAGGGGGTCGTCTCCACTGAACTCAAGTTGATCGATATCCTTGAGGGCCTTGAGCTTAAGGGTCGTATTGCAGTTAACACAATTGCTCCCGCATCAGAGGATGTGTCGGTGGCTACTATAGATTACCAGAGACGTGATTTTTACACTTCGCTAGGATATCAACGCAATGGACTTGGCAGCAGTGATCTTTTGCTGGACTGTGGAACGAAATTTTTTAATCTTCTTCTTGGGGCTGGTTTTGAACGGCAACAACTATCCTATCTTGAACACCAGGATGCCTCAGCTCAGATGGATGTGCTATACGCGGGTTTAGGCTTTACTGGGGTGAACTGGTCGATTGGGGCGAAAATGGTGCGTGCAAACGACGCGTGGAATACGGCTCGAGTGGCTTTCTACCAGCGTATGGCGCCTAGCACCATGGTGGCATGTGGGTATAATTTTGAGCTGTCTGAGTCCCGTGCGCACCTCTCTTTGGGTTTCTCACAGGGCTTTCGTCTGCGAGTGCCTACCATACTACAACAGCGCTCAGAGGAACAGGTGGATGCATGGACGGCAATTTTGCCTTTTGTGGGGGCTGTTAAAGCAGAGAGCGACGGCGTTTGCGCTGCTACCCTCCGTGGTATTTTTAACGGTGTAGTCCATTGGGCCCTAATCGCCCGCAAAAATGTGTTGCACGGTGCCAGTCCAGTGCGATACGGGGTAACCATCTCGATGGAATCTGACTGAGGAACAAGTCTTGACAAGAAGAAGCTGAAATCTTTGGGAAATTTTCTCACAAATCTCATTGCCTCATGCATCTTTCCTACACATAGAGACACACGCTTGTAACGTTGTGTGCCAAAATTATTTTTCTGCTCTCCCTCTATTACAGTATAGAGCTGGGTTTGTCTCTTTCACGAACTAGGCGTTCATGCTCTAGCCGTGTATTTCTTTTTGGAGACGTTTGATGAGTGTGAAAGCGGAGAAAATTTAAAAAGAGAAGGAGGGAAGGGGGTGGGGGGGTTTCTTGGCATCTTGCCATTCTCTTGTAATCCTTCTATTTGTCTTTAATCACACTACGTTGTTGTTTTTGGTTTTGGCAACTTTTCTTTTCTTTTTGCTTGTTGTTCTCTCTCCCCGCGTATTGTTCTTTGCAACGAAGAATACAAAGGAAAAGGAGGTGGCGAAGGTCCCGAGCGTAGATGGCGAGCAACAACATGATGGGAAAATTGACGACGTGGCGTGCAGGGTCTCTGGGATTCAGGACAGGTGTCATCACGCTTATTTGTATTTTGTTAAATATTATTGCCTTGTATTTTATCCGTAGGTTATTCCTTGATCGCTGGGGCGGCAGTCATCCTAGGCGTCCACATAGGGACAGAACCAGCAGAGCTGGCGGTTCCAAGCGAAAAAACCGGAGGCATGATGGCGAGGGGGCGATAAAAAAGTCACTCCCATGTCTTCTTCTGCTCCTTGGCATTCCTGGTAGCGGGAAGACGACGTGGGTTAACCAGTACGTGGAAACTTGTGACAGGTCTTTTGTTATTGTGAACGAAGACTCTGTTCAGGGAGCAGTCACCGCTGAAAAAAACGATTCCTCGTGGGAAGCAGAAGTGCGAGGGGCCATAATTAGTGGCATTGTGCAGCAGTTGAAGGAAAAGCAAAACGTGGTTCTGGACGATAGTTTACGTGTCATGGACGAGAAATTTCGGCATGACATCATAACTGCCGCACCTGCTTGCAATCTGTTGGTCAAGCAGTTTCCCATCAAGGCATTCTATGCGTATACGCGCTTGTTGAAGGATGCTGAGGAAGGCAATGGTGGCAGTTACCTCACAGAAATTGAACTAGAGGAATTGGAGATGAGCTTTGACAAAGCCTGGGCAAGTATGAAGCTAGAGGGCTGGAACCCGCTTCTAGATACGTCTTATTCGCGATCAAAACACAATTGAGACGGTAATGGATGTGTCTCTTTGTGTCATGAAAACTCCGGAATAAAAGATGAAGGTGTTTGTGTAGTTGTTTTTGCTGGTTTTGTTTTATAGGAGAACGAAAAGAGTGGCTGCAGAAGAAGATAAAAGTGAAAGATAAAGTGGTCCATAAGATTATTATTATTAGTTCAGTTTATGCTTGGTACTGTTTTTTTGTTCTTTTGTCAAACTTGTCCTGGCTTAGGGAGAGTAGTTACACACTATATTGCATCATATCCTGCAGAGGCGAAGAATAATAAAAGACAGAAGTGTGTGGAAGTGGGAATTAGGCTATCACTGCAGTGTCGGCTTACTCTTCTCCCCTTGACATGCGTTTTTGATGACGAATGGGCGCTGACTCTGGTATTATTTCTTCTCTCTCGTGTTTTAAAGGCGCTTTTGGAGGTTTTTCTGCATTGCCAAGGATCAATGATATCCCCATTGATTTTGTGGGCAAGAGCACATCAGAAGCAGCCGCAGGATGAGTCACCAAGTGAGGCTGATATTGTTACACCTCTTGTTCAATGCTTGTGTGCTCTTGGTGGGTGTAACTGTGTAAGCGCCAAGAATATTGTACGGCCCATACGAGAGGGGCAGGAGGATAACAACAAATTGATTATTCACGCAGTGCATCGTCGGCGTTTGTACCTCCACTATGCACGGGAGCTTTCACAGGTTTCTGATGTACACGAATACTATAGGTTGATGATGTGGTGCTATGATCAGCGTGTTTTTATTCATCCTGCATTGCGCATGCGCAGGCACCAAACTTCGTACCGTGATCACATTTTTACTGTGTCGCAGGACATTGATCGGTTGACCCCACTGCTTGCCATCCCGGAGGCGCTTGCTATTGGATTTAAGGACGCTGGAAACGAGGAGGATTTTGGGAGCGACTTGAGGAATGAAAAGCGCGAGGAGGAGTTCAATGAATTGAACTCCGGGAAAGGAACTGACGCCGATGTGTGTCGCTTTTTCTTTGCCTCACTGGGTATGATTGTGTCGGATCTTGTGGCAGCGAAAAGTAGTCCTCTTACAGATCCTCGATGGGTTTTTGCGGAGATTATGGGAAAGGTGCGAACTCTCAAAAATGCTCCCTATTTTGAGGATGATGTGGTTTTAGACTCTGAGGCGACAGGCCTGGCTGATGTGTTACTTCAAATGATTCGTAATTATATCAATGGGGGACCTCTTGTGGGAAAATTGGACCGTGCAGAGCTTCGCTGGGCGGTGAGTGTGTGTCTGTCACACTCCACACCTCTTGTCATTGCATCTATAAGATCTATTGGCATAATACCCATTGTTCACTTGTTTCCACATGGTGGGAAGGAAACGAATTCCTTTCTTGTTTGTCGCACGAACCGACCGGCCTCCACTGAGCGAATTGCGGCGTATTTTAAGAAACACCATGGCTATGACTTTATGCATGATAGAGAAGGAAAATGGATTTACCTTGTGCCGTCACGTCCTCTGAAGTCTGGGGAGGAGATTCGAGTACAGACCATGGCTCCAGTTTGTGGAAACGACTCGGAAGCCGAGAAAATTTGGCGACTTTCATGCGCTACAGCTCCTGAGGAATACATGAGTTCTTTTGCTGTAGCGCAAATGCAGCGACGTCTTACACGTGAACTCATCGAAAAGGGAACTGACATCCTTGACAAATGATGTGATGATGCACCATCTTAAGGGGAGGATTGATGATTCTAGAGGCAGGGTTTGTACGTGCTCTGTTTGTTTCTTTGTGTGCGGGTGTAGTACTGTGCTGTTTCTTGTTATTAAGGACGTGAAAATGGGGGAACATGTGATATTTGAAGGAGTTTTGGTGGATGAAGCTGTGGGGTTGTAAAGAAAACCCAAGTACACACGTGTACATAGATGTATGTTATCCATACATCTTTGCATTTTTACGTTGCTTTTTTTCCCCCCCTTGCTCTTGTTATGTGTTTGCTTTGGTGGTGTTTCTTTGCTTGCAGCTGACGGTAACCCGCTGTGTGCTTGTACGACAGCAGTTTAAAATGGTGAAGCGGGAACGCAGCGTGTCACTGCCGAAGCAGACAGCAAAGCGACGGAAGCGCGGCGGTAGACGACGCCGCAAGAAGCAGAGGAGAGAAGTTAACCCTCCCGCCGTCCCGGCGTCCTTCGCGTGTCACATATGCACCAAGAATCACTGGACAGTTGCATGCCCCCGGCTACAACGCAACCCTGATGAATTTCCATTGATGGATAGAAAGAAGGGGTGCTGGAAGTGCGCCCAGAGGGGTCACCCATCAGCGCAATGTCCTGTCAAAAAATACCACTGTGCCGACTGCGGCGGCCTTCACGACACACGTGACTGCGAGTTCGATCACAAGAGTGAGGAGTGGCACGAGTTTTACGACCCCAACACGCAGCACGTTTTCTATAGTCATAGTGAGACACGTGAGGTACAATGGACACCGCCGACGCATCGGCTGGACGTGGTGTTGTGGTTCTGCCCCAACTGTAACATTCTGCTGCCGACGACAGTGCCGGAGTGTGTTACGTGTCATGCGCCGCGGATGGAATCAAAGGCATCCTCACATTCATCGTCTTCGTCTTCGTCTGCATCCTCGTCTGATAATGAAGAAGAAGACAGCGACGACGAAGCCAGCAGTGTCTCTGCGGATGAAGAGGAATAAAATTGTAATAAATAGTGATGGAGTGATGCGAAGGTTTGTGGCTTACATCGAGTCCCCGCGGGTTCGTCGGTGAGTATTTGGGTTTGCCGCCACGTTTGGTTGCCGTGGATCAGAGTCTGACCATGTGTCTCTGTGCATGCAACCAGAGGTAGGAATTGTCTTCTTCACAAGCATCCTCCATATTTTCCTTACACCGAATGCGGTTTTTTGTCATGTTAAAGATTCATCACAAATTGTAACATGTCATGGCGTTTATCATCCCATTTAAACATCTCTCATGTACGGGCATCACATTTCTCATTTTATTTTACCCGTTGAATTCTTTTTAGATACATCTTTTTTCTGTAATATATACATGGGTATATATATATATATATATTTGAGGGGTGGGGAAGGTGTTGACATTATTGGTTGATAACGCAGTACTGTGGACATCAATATATCGTTTCTCTCGTTGTGGCAGGGCGCTGCTGAGACACATACGCACAAAGAAAGGAAAAGGAGGGGGCGGTGTTGACTATGCTTGACCATGAGGGACAAGCAAAAGCTCTGCTGCCACCTGGGTTGAAGCGGCAACAGCGGGACCACGTCATGACAGGCCTCTACGCTGTTGACAATGCAGCTGCATCGTTCCCCATGAACGGCATTTATGCATCGATGGAGATGACTCTGTCGGAGAAACTTACCGCATGGGTCCAATCACTCGGTAAACCGCTGCGCTGTACATCTTGTCGATTGCGAATTAAAATGACGGAAAAGACAGTCGTTTACCGTTTGATATCAAAATATCATGTCGGGGATGCCTCGGAGAGGCAATTTGCTTTTATTTTCCCTGTCAGTGGCTGCAGTGGGGCCCTGACTTCACTTTTGGCGCGAATTAATAAGAGTGTAGTGTTGGGGCAGCTGGTAAGGGCTGAAAACGGTGCGTCCGGACAATTACTGCGAGTGGTAGCAGCAACAGGCACGCCTGATGAAACTTCTACTGATAAACCACACACGCGTAACGTGGCAACCTACAGCATTACACCTAATGCATCCGATGTGCTTGACGGCAAAGCGGCGGAAGTGGGAGCCGAGATAATTGTAGAGACTCAATGGATTTCCAAAGAAATGGCATCCTGTAGTCCCCATATGTTGCAGATTTCATATTCGTTTGTGTGTGCACCACGATTGCCAGACGAAATTGTCTGTCGTACGGCGTTTTCATATCCTCTAAAAATGGTGTCCAGCCCCAATTGCCGCATTGGTGGGGGTACGTTGAGTTGGAAGCTGCGAAGAAGAAGTTGCAAGATTTGGCTCACTCCGCAGAATGCCGCAAAGATGCTGCGGCGCGACGACAAAGTTTTCATTCTTACATTTTACTTTCAGAACACCCTTCACGCCGAGTACAAGCCAGGTCCTCTCGGGCCTGTGTTTCTTGTAATCTTCCTGTTTCTCATACTGTGGATGATGCTAACAAAAGATTTGAGTGTCTGACTGGATCAGAGCATGCCCTGGGAGGATGAGTAAACGAGAGAGCCTCGCTGCGCGGTAAGAAGCACGATGGTGGTGCATGGGAAATAGAAGAAATAAATTGTCTATCCTCATATCGTTTGGTTGTTTTTAAGGAGTTTTGTTTTTTTCGTTGTTCTTGTTGCGTATTTATGTATCCTTGCATTTATATATATTACATCGTTTGTTTTTCCTTCTGAGCGTGTGCGCATTTGTTCTCATTGAAGTCTTCGTTTGATAGTTCTTTGCAGGAAGGTGTGTGCGTACGTATATATATATATATATATATGTATATATGGGTAGCCTGCATAAAACCAAAAAGGAATGAATCAAACGCCTGATTGTACCCCGTTTTACTCCGATTTTGGTCAATTCAAAGATGGCTACAACCGTGAGGAGGCGGAAGCCGGCATTCACAAGGCATTTCGCTTACGACAGCGAGAGCGGCAGCAACGGTACGTGAAAGGATTGTTGCTGGGTAGTGGCCTTGGGGATGTGGCGAAACGAACTGTGCAGAAGGGTCTGTATCAACCGCAGACGACGCTGCTTTTACCCAACGGGGTGACGTCAACGGCGGCAGCGGTGGCATCTGGTGCAGCTGAACTGGAGGAGCTTGAGGAACGGGGCGGCATGAGCGAGGCGATGCTCGGGGGAATTGTTACGCCATCTGACATGGCGCTTTTGAGCACTTCTCCGGCAAACGTCATGAACCAGTTTACAAAGGCTGAGGTAGAGGTGCGCAATTTAGTGGAGGTTCAGCATCAGTTGGAGGGCAATCTAAAGGTCGCAGAAGAGTGTCTTGCGTCTAGATGCAGCCCATTTACGTTTGAGACGTTGTTGGAGTCTCTTTCTGTGGCGCTTTGTGTGGTAGAAGAGGGTGACCCCAAGATTGAAGTGACACTTCCCATTCAAAATGGAGAGGCAGGGCCGCTTCACGGGGCAGAGGCTGTCATGGCGTATGTTCGCGAATACGTGACTCCACTCACCATGGCGCTAGTGACCACCTTGTACGCAACGGAGTGGATGTTACAATACACCATGACGTTTGTGAATACCATTGTGGTAGAAAATGAAGAAGAGGCTCAACTTCGAGATGAACTACTTGCGCGTTGTGTGCGGTGGTTGGGGAAGATTGATCGGTTTGTTGCCTTTGCTTTTGCGCTTGAGTTGATGTCTGAGTCATATGAAGCCTTTTTAGACCTACGGAACGCCTCAGAGCAGCACATTGAGGGTCTTCTTAACAGCATTCAACGGGAAATTAGTGCAGTGTTTCTCTTGCCGTTTCCCCAACGCCGCAAGGGATTGCTCCGCCGTGAGGAGAGAATAAAAAAGCGTCTTCAATGTGCTTTAAAGCTTCTTGCTGATCTTGACATCTCATGGTTTCCAAGCGTGAAGCTGCAAAAGGAGTGGAAAGATGAATTTCTTACTCAAATGTATAGTCGAGTTCACACGGTTATTGCCCCTGCCTACTTCTCCGCTTCATTGGGATTTATTGACGAAACACTTTACACATTCATGCCGAGTGGTCGAGTTGTGGCAAAACGCACTTTGCCTAGCTTTGCTCGAGGCAGCAGTGCTCGGCGCACATCCGTGAAAACCTCTATGGCGAAGGTTTTGGTTGTGACGCAGGTGGAAAACCGACGTGTGAAGGAAAAATTGAACCTTCGACAGATCGCAATGCTGGTGAAGGGTTTGGCGAGTAATGTTGTGGGCCTACAGTTGTGCATGGGGGCGCGGTTTATGCTGCGACAGTGCGAAGCCGAATACGACACACGATGGGGGTTTTCGATGAATTATCCACCGGACTCACACGACGCCGTCCGCGACTCGGCGGGAATTGTGCCACGCTTCACTGAGTTGTTGAGGGGGCACGTGAGGGTGCGGGCGGAATACCAAATGGGGATGCTTCGACACTTTGTGGTGTAAAAGCTGTGCTTATGTACGAGAGTGCGAGTGTTTTTCTTTTTCTTTTTTTGGTTTGCTATCTACCTACTCAGGAAGTGAGAGAGAAGGCTTACTGTAGAGACCCCTTCGAAACCTATTGAAGCGAGCATTACTGTGTTACTTGTTATGATGCACGGCGCAGCCTGTGCCTTTTTTTTGCATTACGTGCGCTTCAAGGAATTTGACCTTTTTTTGCTGGCTTGGTTTGTCTCTTGTCCTCCATTGTCCTTTTTCTTTCTTATTGCCTTGCTTGTGGGCGGAGGGGGGTGTGCTGTTTTAGTGCAGAATTCCTAGCGTGTGTGTGAAAGGTCAATAATAAAGAGAAAAATGAGTGGCGGAGAAGCAAACAGTGTTCAATGCGTCTATGTTCTCTCTGACATTGACGGGTATAAGTACAAACTTGTGATGGAGGGGGATGTGCGTCACTTAACAACCAAGAAAGCGAAACGGTATTTGCAGAATGCTACGGGCCTAAGTAACGAGCAGCAAGAACTTTTTTTTAGAGGCCGAATCCTGCAGGACGATGAGTGTGGCGGTGATGTGGGCCTCATGGACGGAGCGGTGTTGCAATTGCGTCATGTGGATGGGCTACGTCAGACTAATAATGGTGCCGCTGATGGAGGTAGAGGTGGAAGTGACGAGTGTGTTAACAGGCCGAAAAGCCGTTCACACTTGATGGGAGGTGCGAAGCGTCGTGGAAGATCAACGGCAGTTGACGCTTTTTCATACGAGTTCCCACCGGCAGGGATGCCGACGCCGTTACAATGCAGCCGCCACCGTGACGTTTTGAACGATGAAGAAAACTTGGAGAGTCCGCCTCCGAGGTTCGCTAACTGCGGTGACAAATGCATCGACTACAAGTATCGTAAATTAGAACTCGAGAACGCTCGACTGGAAAGGTGCCTCGTGAAGCTGGAGCGTCGACTTGCCAATGCCGCTTCAGACTGGCGGCTGCAGGAAGAGATTAAAGAGTTGCAAGGCACCATTGCGCACTTGGTAGAAGAGAAGGAGGCCATAAAGCATTCTTCAGAGGAAAGTTGGAAGGCTAAAGAGGAGGAGCTGGTGAAAGAACTTGATCTCTTGCGTGAGGAACGGCGTAAACTACATCGGGAACAAAAATCCTTTGAGGAGGAGCAACGTGTGGTGGTGCGCAGCTTAGAGGACCAAATCCGCACTCAGCAGAAGAGGATTCTTGAACAGGAGGCGCTGCTGGCACAGCAATCTCAACAACAGCATCCAGAAGCTATATCCATCACGGAAAAGGCTGAAGCCAATCTGAAGCAACTCTCACTGGAGCTTAATATTTCCCAACTACACTTAGATGACAATGACACTTGCGTTCTACCGTTGGAAGATGGGACAAATGTCCTCGTCACGCTGGATACCGCGACAAAGCGCCTATTCATGTACGCAGTCATCGCAAATTCGCTACCAGAAAATGCCGAAGATCGATTGCAACTGTTTGAGATGTTGCTTGAGGGAGCTCTACTGGGTCGTGAGATGGCCGGCGGTGGCGTTGGCGTTTGCTCACGCAATAATCTTATTATCATGGACGTATGCATTGACATTGCACACGCGAATGAATACGCCTTGGCAAGCGTCGCCCGGCCCTTCATGGCGTCTGTTCAGCAATGGCTAGAGGTCGCCAAAAATGTGGTGACGCACTAGACATTTTAATGGCAATTCTTTTTTCATTCTTTTTTTTTTTCTCTGTGTGCGTGTGTGTGGCGTATTTTGTGTGGTATTCCTGTAGAGAAAGAAATAATGCTGGATCTTCAATTGTGGTATTATGCATGTACTCGGCTAAGTGGGCAACATGCCGATGAAAATGGCTCATCTTGCTCCTCTTCCAAAATCTCACTTCTTGGCTTGCTTCTCAACCTTGCCTGCGTTGTGTGATGCATACGGAGGTGTGTAGCTCCCACCGACTAAGTTGTTGTTTTGTGTGTGAGGGGCGTTGGAAAATGGCGGCGATAGAGGGATTGTTTTTTGTCTTTTAGCGCCTGAACTGATACAACTAATCGGTGAGGAATAATCCCCACAGCGCTGAGTTCATGCACATTCACTATGAAATGAACTTTTGGTGGTGTTGCTGCTTCTGCTGTTTTTTTTTTTGACAAACATACAAATAGAGGGGGGTGTTGAGGCGGTAAAGCCTTGATAATTGCATCACACACTTTGGAATTGGTGGTGGTGAAGGAAGGAACTTAGTGTGGGTTGTTTCTACCTCTACCCGAGATTCTTTCTTTTTCCTTTTTTTATTTGTATTTTGCTTCTCGCGATTACACTTGCTCTCTCTCTCTCCCTCCTTTTTTTTTCTGGTCTTTTTTGAAAAGTTGGAGGGATGGAGATTCGCTGCTTTTTGGTGCACTGCGGTAATCCTTCGGTTGGTTCCCCCTACGTGGACATACCGCCGCCACCGTCTTCTCACTCTAACAGTGGCCGTGGCCCTGTAAAGTACTTGGGTCGACACTCACCGGAACTTTATTGGCGCCTTGGAAACAACCCCCGCTATTCACGGCGAATGATGTCGTTGTGGATGGAAGAGTCCACACCTGAGGAAGTCCCTCTGGCCGCTCGCGTTCATCCGCATGTGGCACACCGCTTAACATTAAAGTGCGTTGGAAAGAATACGATTACCGTCTCGCGACGTGCCACCGGAGCTAATTCCAGTAGCCAGCCGACTAGTGAACGTCGCATTTTTCTCCATTGCAATGAGGCCACCACGCTCCGGGTTGGCGATAGCGTTGGTGTCGCGCATAAGGTTTGGATGCAGGTTGTCCTGGCCCTTGTGTGTGTCAATGAGGCGGTGAAGGTGCCTGTTGTGGTGCCACAGGCGATAAGTGGTAGTGATCCCTGCTTGCCCGCCTGTCGGACACTGTGCATGCGGCTACAGGATCCACCTCCACCTCCACCTCCTCTGGTACATGTGGATCGATTGTGGAGGAAGTTGCCCTTCATCATTAGGGCCCCGCTGGCACTCTCTGCCTGGGAACACCAGTTGGCCGCAGACTGCAGTGCTGTGAAAGCAGCAACAGCAATCGCGGATTTAACAAGTATGGGACCTACATCTCTTCTTGTTCCACCTGAAACCGGAGACGGAATGGAAGAGGATGCGGCGCTTAGTAACTCTTCGCAAGTAATTCGGGATGGTGGGACGACGACGTCGAGCGGTGAAACACGTGGTAAACGCCGAAAACGTACTTCATCTTCTGGAAGTCAAGGTGTTGAATCACAAGTGCTCTCGATGGATATGGGGTCTCCGCCAAAGAAGCGTCGGGCCACTCTTGATGAGGCTGCTATTATGAGTAATACTCCGCCTGCTCCCTTGCCGGAAAACAACACTTATTATGATACTTTTGATGAGCAGCTAGATGATGAACTTCGGGTCTTGGAATCACGCACAACCATGGCTAATCCCCTTATTGCTGCGGGACCTCCTGTGCCTGAGCTATTGGGCGAAAGTCCACCATGTGAAGGACGATGCGATGAAACAAGAAAATGGATTGGTCGAAGCAAAATTTCTACTGTGAGCCGAACTCAACTGCGACACAGCAACAAACAACGGGAGAAAGAGTTACAGCTGTTATCGGGTCATGGGCAAAGAACAGGTGACGGTAAGCCCTTTGCTGACGAATCACAGGTGGTGTATTACCGCCGCTAGAAAAAGGCATCTTTTGCGTTTGTCACCAACATGACAAGGGTTTGCCCGCCTCACACATTACTTGCAACGATGGTTTCTTTTATTAGTTTTAGAGCAAGAAGAGAAGAAGAAAAAAAAATTGTTCTATGCTTGGCTTTTTCATGAGTTACTTGTTGCTTTTTAGATGACATCTTTCGTGCCACCTTTTGGAGGACTGGGTAAGAATGAGAAAAGAAAAAAAGTGAATATGTGGTATGTTTCCCCATTTGAGGGGATTTTTTTTTTTGCCGTGTTGTGTCCCTGGAGAAAGAAGGAGGGCTGAGAAGTGGGGGATGTGAGGTGTCGTGCATCAGTCCGCTTTATATGTGTTTCCCACTTATACTCTGTTCATTTGGTTTCTTGTTGTCTCTCCTGATCTTTTTTGAGTGGTTGTTTTTTTGCTGTTAAATTGTTTTTGCCACACGCGCGCCCGTACATTCCCGCTTTGCAGCGTCCACACGAAATACCCATAGCGAACCTTGTTGTGTGCATACGTCTGCAGCGGCACGAGGACGGCAAGCGGCAGAGAATCAGAGTCTGCCTCGTACCTCCAGTTTCTGCTATATAACTTCTACCGTTATTCATAACGGTCGAAGAAGGGGTGCACAACAGTGTGCCGTGGAACTAACCAACGTTAATAGGACGGGGAAAGGGTTAAGGAGGGGGGAAAAAGGAAACGCAACGGCGAGAAGGAAACAAATTCATCCAAAAAAAAAATTGACAGTAGCAATCGGTACGCATCGGCATTTCTTAGGAGGAAAATTTAGATAACTACAGATACCCACTGTGTGGACCAAAAAAAGCGGTTAAATGTTGCGAGCCTTTTCTGGCAGTTGCCTCTCTCTAGAGGACATGAAGACTGTGCGCCGTCCAAACTTAGTCCAACGGCCGCACATATTGGGCCCCGGTGTTGATTTCTTTACCGAAGATGGCCAGCCTGTGCGTCCACAGCCTGGCGCACATACACTTCAAAAGGTCTTTTCTGGAAGTACCTTGGATCTCAATGCAATGAATGGTGACGTTCTTTCCGAGGAGGAAGTGCCTCAGACCAATAACGCTTTGCAACATTCGCAACAACAGTATGTATCACCGGTCGCGACAGTATCAACCATTCTTCATCAACTATCCACAGAAACAGAAAAAGAACGTGCTAAGAGTTCAAAAAATAAAACCAATGTCTTGGTTATTGGAGGAATTGGGTATATATCCAGTCATGTTGTGGCAAAGCTTCTTGATGCAGGTTACACAGTTCGTGTAACCGTGGCCGATGGACTGAGTGAGCAACAGCAAATGGATTTTTACTCCATGGACCGTGGCCCAGAACGCCGTTTGACCATCTTGGAAGCGGACATGACAGATTCATCCACCCTCCGTGATGCCATGCGTGGGTGTAAGTATGTTATCCATTGTGGCTGCCCGACAGCCCCTGGTGACAAGGATCCGGTGGGCTTACATACAAGTGCCATTCGTGCTCTTTTTGATGCTGTCCGATCCACAGGGCAGTCAACAGTGAAACGGGTTGTAATTACAGGAGCGTCATCTTCGGTGTTTCACATTACGGATCCAGATCCTCCCTCCGGAGCCTTTGACGAATCCTGTTGGAATACAGTAGCTACTTCCACGACGGATCCCATTCCTTATGCAAGAATTTGTTTTGAAAAGGAGGCTTGGAGGATAAAGCAAATGATTGGTGTGGAGTTAGTAGTAGTTCTACCCTCTATCACCATTGGGCCAAGTCGTACGGAAGAAATTAGTGATGCCATGATGCAAATTCAAGAGTTAGCCAATGCATCTCCCGTTTTTCCGTATGCCGCCAACTTGTACTGGAACTACGTGGATGTGCGTGACGTTGCTGAGGCGCACGTACGAGCACTGGAATGTCAAGAAGTCAAGGACCAGCGGGTTATAGTCTCCAATGGCTGTTTTAGTTACGCTGAAGTTGCGCAGATGATTAAGGAAGCGTACCCACACCTGACGCCTCCTACACGGACTGCAAATACTTTGATGACACTCCTTATTGGTGCCACGCAATCGCAAGTAAAGATGGGATTTCTTTGGCGTTTTGTGGGTGTTCGAAAGCGTCTGCAAACGCATAGGGCAAAGGTGGATTTGGACATGACTTTCACCCCTATGAAGGAAACGATACAGGCGTGCATTGATCAGCTGATTCGGGCAGGTGAAATTCCCGCGCCAAATGCTTCGCGGTCGATGAACACGGGAAAAATATTTATCGTGACGACAGCGGTAAGTCTGTTTCTCAGCACCGCAGTAGCAGTGGCGTGGGGTGTTGCACGAGCGAGAAGAAGAAGGTAGAGGTGGCACTGTGTGTTGGTATTTCTTTCACCTTGACACTTTTTTTGTTTTCTTTTGTTTTTTTGTGGACACTGTTGTTGTTGGCTCCGTTGTTCCATCATTTTTTTGTTTTGTTTTACGGGCCCGTTGCTATTTTTTGGTTGTCGTGTGGTGTGACGGGACTAGAAAGTTGCAGCGGATTACAACTTTATTTGTTTTGTTTTTGTTTGCGGGCATCAAGACGTGTTCCACTCCCCCCGTCATGCAGCGCCTTGTGCCAGTGTGCTGAGCCGTGTGTGCCTCCTTCACCTCCCGTGTTCTCCACGTGGATGTGGGCCGCGAGGCAACCGCTTTGCTGTAGTGCGGTCCTGGGCTAAAAGAAGCGGAATCAGCGGCGCAAAAGAGCGGGGGCAAGGGGCGGAGGGAATTGAAGGGATGCCCCTCAAGGTCATGGACGCATGGGAGCGAAGCAGAAAAAAAAAACGGATAAATAAAATGAAATAAAGAAACGCAGCGAAACAGGAATAAACTGGATAAAAGGTCAAATAAAAAAAAAAACTAATTGAAGAGATGCTTGCCCACTGCGGGAGGGGGGGGAGGGAAAGAAGAAGTAATCGAATTTTTCCTACAAACGTCGGGAGAAGGCCATTGGTTATGACAGAGCGAATTATTCAAGGGGCGAGATAGGAGGGGAGACCAAAGAAAAACAAAAAAAACGAAGAGGAGGGGGACACAGAGGCAGCAGCGCGCAGACACACGACGGCAAGAAAACAGGAAATCCCCACCACTACTAAGAAAAGAGAAACCCACGCCAAAAACGAGAACAACAACTAACAACTAACCGGTAATATGCAGGCACTAAAGAGAAAAGCCCGAAGAGAGGGCACGTGCAAATAAAACAACAGCCAAGAGGGGGAAAAGGTTGTATAAGAGCATTTATGCACATGCATGCTTTAGAAGGGAAACAACGTTGACGACGGAATACATGCATATGAGGAGGTTAACATAAGCGGGCATGCGTGATACATTGCAATCTAGCACTATTGTGGTACGACGATGAGGGGGAAGGAGGCGTTGAAGAAGAAAAAAAAGGAGGGAGACTGCGTAACAGCTGGTTACTTCCTCTTTTTTGTTTTTGTTTTGTGAAGTTGATGATACACGTGCCTTTTCTTCATACCACCAAACTTAACTTTTCCTGTATGATTTTTTCCCGTGGATCCATTTTCTTTCTTGCTTTTTTTTTTTTGCGTTCAAATGTTTCTACACACATTTACATGGCGCACGTGTGTATGTATAACAATATATAATTATGCGCATCTACTTATGGGTGCATGTACGTGCTTAACACGCATTTGGAAGCTTCCCACACTTTTTTCCTCTGACACTATCACCTGTTGCTTGAGGCGTTCCTACATGTCGCACGTCAAATGGTATTAACTAAGAACAAAAATGTGTAAACCGTGAGGTAAAAAAATGTTATTTCTCTAAGAGGAGGTGTGTGAGAGAGAGGAGGCGAAAAAGTGAAATGGTGAGAGACGGAGTGTATGGTGTGGTGGTGGTGGGAATAAGAAAGGGATGGAGAAGGAATTTTTTTTTTACGGAATAAAATAGAAAGGCCGAGGCGGATAACGAAAACGATCAATAAGAATACACACATACACATCTAAAATAGATGCTTAATGGGAGGGAAGTGCTCAGAGATGTGTTTCATTTCAAAGGCAAGCAATTAACTCTAATGCTTTTGCAATGATAGAAAAGTTGGTGATGCATTCCATTTGTGTCTTTCATTCGATTGTTTGTTTCCAGATCTCTGTTTATGATGGCTACTGACGCCCTTTCACTGTGCGTGTGCGTGTGTTATTTATTTCGGTTACAACTACTGGTTCAATTGGTCTTGCTGTTAGCGCCACAAGACAAAGTGCTGAAAGGGAGTGTAAACGGAGGAGAATAACAAAAGAGACGGACGTAAGTTATGTAAATTTGTTTTGATTATTCTGTTTTTTTTTTTATTATTATCCTACTTTTTTTTTTTTACCGCCTCATTTCAAGCCAACATGTCGGGTTCGTGTATGTGGGGCGGGGTTAAGGTGCGAGCGCACCACGGCGACATCTTTCGTGGGTGGAGTGCCGGCCAAGGGCTGGAGAGCCTGCGGCGCCAGTTGTATCGAGAGCCTCGTCCATGGTACATTGCATGGTCTCTGCATCATCATAAGCATCTCCTGAGCGATCACCACTGTGCTCGGCTATTGGCATGGTGCACAACGGTCATGGATCTTGAGAAGCGACAGGCAGCAAAGCGTCAGGCATACATGTACTCCCAACAAGTGTTTCAGGTTATGGTTCACAGCCACAAAGTGGGATCGGAGACGTATCAAGAGTTCTTTAGGCTTTGCGCCACGGGGCGCGACTTAACAACGGCCTTTCGTTGGCAGCAGTATTTGGTGGAAACAGGGCAACCATTTCCTCTTTCTCACTATACCTGGCTCTTACGCGTTGCGCTTCTCTCCCCAAATGATGAAAACGCCGAAGATATGGCGGAGGCAGTGTGGGAAACGTACTTGGCCCGCTATTGTCATTTGATGAAGCAGGAAGTGACAGGTGACATTGCCACATCGCACTTTCAACCCTCTAACGAAGAAGAAACCCGGGAATTGGAAGGTTTATTTAAAGCGTTTAAGCAACTTCGCTCCAAAATTGTTCATGTGGCAAAACCAGAACTTCTTGATTTTATTGATAGTCTTCCTGGCAGCAGTTGGAACTCGGCCACACTTGACCCCTGGCCGACGGTCAGTCGCCATCATACCTTTTCTCAATTAGAGGCAGGTGTTTCATGGGCTCCCCCAACTTTGTCACATCCGCACCTCCGGGATTCGCTTTTGCATGAGAGTTTCACAAATGATTTGGAAAAAGCCGCCTTTTTAAGCGATGCGCAACGTGTTGTGACACTTGTGAATGAGTACTTAAAGCGTATTTCAGTGGAGAAGAGCGGAGAGAGTGGGAAAAAATACCGAGCAGGTGAACGCGATATTTGGCACCGCTATTCTGATCCTTCTGTGGCCGCCTTTCGAAAGCCACTTGTTGAGGCTGGTGGCGTCACAGCAGAGCTTTACCATTACTTGATTGTGGCACTTTCAACAACGCAGCCGACCTTGGCGCTTCGCACGCTCCGTCGCATGGAAGAGACCAATCTCCGTGTGCTTGATTTGACACGGGCGGTTATGATTGTTCGCTGTGAAGGCTCTCCCGCTGATCAACAGGCGCTTCTTCAGGAACAACTACAAGAAATTGCGTTGAGGCAGAAAATCAATCACGATTATGACGTCACGAGAGATGTTGAGCTCTTCTGGAAGTTTTCTTATGCCGAGTTTTTTCATTACCGTAATGCGTTGAGCAGAACGGACTTGTATCGAATTCTCATAGAGGGTTTGGGACCTGTTAGGGTTCAGGAACTGTTGACAGAGGCGAAGGCCAACGATTCATGCTCATATGAAGATGTGGTTGTGTTTGATGAATCTTTTCGCGCGGCTGCCGCCGCGTATTTTCGAGGGCTTTGTGGCCAGTTGGATGTGAATAAAGCGATGGATGAGATTGCGGCGAAGATGCCAAAGCTTGATATCAGTTTGGTGGGCTCTATGCCTCACTTCAGCGATTATGCGCTGCCAGAAGGGGACTTTGTCGCTACAGATATCTCTGCGTTACGAGGCAAGTTAGTGGGGTTTAAACGAATTTATGTTTTAGATTCCTCGTTTGTGGAGACAAGCGAACAGTTTCTCACTGTGGGGCAAACCTCTAACACGGAAGATACCGGGCCATATCTAGTGCTAGTCCCGTACTGTTGTTTGCAGCAGCTGGCTTCAACAATTGAACAGGAGCAAGACATTGTGACGTTTGACGAGGCTCTGCAAGAGGCCAATAAAGCTGAACCCTTTATTGCCTCCCAGAGACTACGAAGTCTGTTTGCCCTTCTACGGGACATGAATAAAAACAGAAGAACTAGAGTCCTTCACTTTAGTGAATGTCTTATGGCGCATTCTGTGGAATCGTCACAGATCAAGGCGGCAGGACTTGATCCTACTTCCTCAGACAACGATCACTTGTTTTTGCTTATTGCCATGGTAAGGGCGATAGCGCCTGCGGAGTCTGAGGTGGTGCTTTGTACGGATGATGCAGCGCTTGTGAAGCTCTTTCTTGATGATAAGCTCACTTCTTTTTTTGTTGGAAAAATTTTTATGCTTTCATCGCAGCCGCCTCAGGAAGTGTTGGACAACGGGGATGGCCTTATTGATGACAATCCTGACTTGTGTGTGTCGATGGATTTTGAACCTAAACTGCAGGCTCCCGCCCCATTTGGCAGAAATCATCATGGTTCAGAGGCAAATACCTTGTTGCCCTCAGAAGCGCAGGAGCATGAAGCGAACGCAGATGCGTTGGGTGCCGCATGGCTCGACATGCTGGACGGTCAGGAGCAAGGCGAGCAGCACTTGGATACAGCAAACGATACTCCGCACCCCCAGAATGGGACTTCAACGTGGAAGGTTGCGAGGGAAATGGGGAATGCCGGCGCGAAGGAAGAAGGGAAGGACGACGACAAAGACGACGACGACGACGATTTGGAGGCTCGCAAACATGAAAGTCTTATGAACATGTACGAATCGGAACATGCTGTTGTTCCGGTGGGTGCCTTAATGGCGGAGGCGTCATCGTTGGGATCTGTGTTTGAGCAGTTTGATGTTCTCGGACCCGATGCTCAAATGGACTGTGCCGTGGCGTCACCGGTGCCGCAGCAAACAACCGGTCAGCCGAATGAAAGGCCTCGCAAACGAAGTCTGTTGGAAGCTGAGGCACGAAAAAATCGTGGTGCATCTAATAAACAACGATTTCTTCTTGCAAAGCGACTAAGTAACATCTCGGGAGGACGCGTTCCATTTAACTTCCGCTATAGGATACTCGATGTGAACATACGGGATCCCAAAAACAAACCTTACGAGGATGCTTACAAGGAAGGCGTGGCGAAGAAACGAGAGAGTTTTAAAAGAAACTTCAGCAAGTCCTATCTGGTTGGTGGTGGTTCACCGTAACGCGTGGGCATAAAATAAATGGAAAAGAAAACATCGCAGAATGATTTGTCAAAAAATTTTTCTTATTTGGCTGGTATTGTTCATTTCTTTCTTTATAGTTACAATGCAAATGAGTGCCTTGATTTACATCCTTTTTTTTTTTTTTGGTTTTTGCCTCATCCCCTTTCTGGCCTTCTGTTCTCACGTGTACCGTGTCCGTCCACACAGGTGTATGCGTCCGCATATTCATTTTTACCTTGCATACATTTACTGCACCACTTTTTTTATTGTTTTGTTTTCTTTTGTTTCTTTTTCGGTTTATCACGACCTCGTTCCATTCTCTGAGTGTAGGATGTGTTATTCTTTCTTCCCTTTGAACACTACTCTTGGTTTTTCGAGTCTCTGTGAGGCATGGAGGTGATCAATATCGTGGCTGACACGCCATCTTCGTTTGACTACTTCACGGAGCGGTACTACCACCAGTATGTGGTGAGAAACTGTAAGGGTGTGGAGAATAACAATTGTAGACTTTTGGTGCACAGCAATGGGTTGTGTGTTCTGTGCCTAGACGGATCACATGCCGCCATTCAGGCACATCGTAGGGCAACGTCCATGGACGGGGAATTAGTGCCTTCTCATCCTCGCATTGAATCTGTAACATTTGGCTCTGGACGTGGCAATGCCAAAATGGCACCTGAACGTATTTGTGTAGTTGGCAAACGCAAGAAAAATGCTGTTATATGCCAGGAGGACACTAATATTTGTGTCATTGCAATGACAGACAAAACCGTGTATAAAATCCCGGCATGTCTCGCTGGATTTGTCCTCGAGCTCAATCCAGCAGTGCAAGATCGACCCGAACTTCTAGCAACAGCGCCCACAGTTGAGGGTTTTATTGCCGTCATTTCCCCGAACTACAAAAAGGTGGATCTCATTAAATACATCAAAGTATCAGAGGCCACAGGAGGGGATGTTATTGAGGATAACGATGACGATGGCTGCGCGGAAAAATAATTTTAAGTAACCGTATTGCATGCTATATACTTGGCAACGAATTGCACCACAGTCGCCGTTATTTATTTATTCGTGTATGTGGGTTGTTTTTCTTTTGTTTCTTGTTTGTGTCCGATGTTGTTGTTCTTTTTATTTTCTTCGTTGTGTTGTTGTTTTCTTCAAAAGGGACACACACACACACATATGCAATGCGCTGGGGGAGGGGGGGGCATCGGCCGAACCTCGCGAGGAGCTGCGAGGGGCTCTCCTCAGGGTATGTGTGTCCGATGGGATAGCCGCAGAAGAAGCTGGAGGGGCAGCCTTTGCCAGTGCAGGTTCTTTGCCCATGGGGTCTGTTTCATAGGGCCCCGCTATTTCTGAAGAGCAGGTTAAGCGCGGACGCCTGTGTGGGCATGGCAGGCGAGAATGTCGCGCGAAGCTGAGATCCTTCACTTGTCGGCGTGGGGCAGTGGTGCCACGTAACTG